CGCCCTGGCCCCAAAGTCTACCTTCAGCATTCCCTGGGGACCTTCTTGCTCCATTCCCTTGCTGTTCCTCTGCACTGCCCCAGTGCTTCGCCTCAGTGTGGCAGGAACAGATCGAGTGCAATTCCCACACTGTGTCTCTGGTGTTGCCCCTCAGGGCCATGAAGACCCCTTGTCTTACAGACTAGATTATCTATACACTTACTTCCTGGGGTCCTTCAGGAATTTGGGAGGCCTGTGTTTATATTTTCTCCCTCCACTTTTTTTTAAAGGATTCTGAAGAGTCTTGTAGAAACCTAGTCCCTGTACGAAAGGTGGTGTACAATGTCCTCAATGAACTGGAGAAGACATTTGACCTGCCGCTTCTGGAAGCATTGTTCAGCGAGGTCAACCTGATGGAGTACCCTGGCCTCACTGACATTCACAGGAGCTTCACAACCGGTAATTAGTCACCCCTCTTTGGAGATCCTGGGGCATTTCCCCTCTATTTCCATTCTTGCTCGAGTCCCAGCACTGAGCTGAACAGGGGGACAAAGTACTTAACAAAACGTATGTCGTGAGGCTGCTTGCAACTTACGGTCCAGAGGCTGATGCCTAAACTCTCTAAGGTCTGGTTGGCGGGGCATTTAGATTCAGGAGACAATCAGAAGCACCTGGCATCAGCTTTACTTAGAAGGACATCGGACAGGAAACCTCAGGCCAGCAGGTCACCAACCCTGTTCCTCTTCACGGGCATCCTTGTTGTCCACTTAACAGGCAAGAGGAGAGCTCCCCGCAGGCCTCCTCGATAATCATTTCCTGTTTGCAGTTTTCAGGGAGATTTCCCCCTTGATTCCTTGGATGTGGGCTTCTTTTATGGCTCTTTGGAAACCCGTCCTCCTCTCTGACTGCACGGAGTTCTAAGCTTCCTCTTTCTTAGTCTCATTTTTGAAAGCTGGCGGGGCCTTCTGGGTGACACGTGCTGATCTCTGTGTGATCTAACCCTGTCCCTCAGGGATTGCTGTGTTTGTTTCCTTAGTTTGAACTACCCCAGCACATTTCACTTCTATTTTTTATTTGGACATATGTTTCCCTACATCTGATCACTTTTAAAGTGGGCACATACTGCATTCAACATTCCCACAGCTCCTTTATTCTTGCATCTTTAGGGGTGACTTTCTGAATAGCAGGCCTCCAGGATCCCTGTTAGGGTGTTCCCTTGGCTGTCCCAGAGCGCGAGGACCGAACTTCAGGTCACATGAAGCTCTCTGAGTTTGAGGGACCTAAGAGCTGGGAGATCCTCAAACTCCCACTGCCATCGAGTTGATGCCGACTCACGGTCACCCTGTCGGACCGCGGGATGGGAGTTTTCGAGACTGTAGCTCTTTATAGGAGTAGAAAGCCCGTCTTTCTCACTTGGAGCAGCTGGTGGTTTCGAACTGCTGATCTTTTAGTTAGCAGCCCCACAGCCAAGCACGACGCCACCAGGGCCCCTGGATGTGTGGTGGTGAGGTTTAGTCTCTGCTGGAGATCTCTCATTGCCCTTTCCTTCCTCTCTTCAGTGATCAAAGAGAAAATCTGTTTCCAAGAAATAGAGAAAGAAGGAAAGCCTGGCATCCAAGCAAGCCTCGAGGAAGGTAATTTGAGCTGGATCAAAGAAGATCTGTCTCATGAAGGGGGAAAGGATCTGAGGGGCCTGCGCCCCGGTGTGGGGAGGGGATGTGGGATCAGAGAAGGGATTCTGGGGGCCATGGTGAAGGCAGGGAGGACTTGGGTTTGTGTGAGGAGCATCTAACTGTGAAACCCCAGAGCTCAGGGCCGTTGGCTCAAAGAAAGAGGAACTGAAGGTGTCAGTGGTTGAGACTGATCACTGTGAAGACTTGGTAGTCTTAAGGATTTAGAAGGGTCCCTATGAACTTGAGGGTCTACATTCCTGGCTCATGGTCTCTGTGAAAGAAAAGACCAGAAGCAGGGACTGAATGAAATACGGAAGGTGTTCTTTTAAGAGCCAGAAGGCTGGGAGGGGGAATGGGTAGCAGAGAAGATGGGAGGAAGTGTGCCAGGGGAGGGGCAGAGGATGGGGGGGGGACAGAGGGGAAGGGGGGAGAGGACAGTAATCATGATAACAAACAGCTCACGCTCACTGAACATTTAATTCCCTGTTAGTTGTGGATTTTGCCCTCACCATTGCCCTCTGGGCATAGTATTGTTAGATATAGCAGGTGTAAATACCTCCATTCTTGACTTCCCATGAGAAATAATTCACACTGAAGCCTGGTTTGTGATCCAAGCGGGTTTTTATCCAGGACAGAAGAAGTTTCAGGTTTTAAAGTCACTCAACACAGGCAATCTTGGGGGATGGCACGCCCACACATGGTAGCCTGCGACCAGAGCCACCACCACTTGGCCTATTGGGCACAGGGCAGGAGCTAATGCCACCTGGGTTCTTTGACAAGCAATGGTACAATATTAAATTGTTCAAAGTATTGCCAACTTAAGGCATTAATTTTAAGAAGAAGAAGGAGAAAAAGAGGGGTGGTCTCAAAGTCAAGGTATTTGAGGGCTCTGGCTGGGAGGCATGGTCAAATGTCTTGGTTGACCCCATTGGCTGAATTAAGCGCCCCAGGGCTTAGTTTGTGCCACGCAGTTAGTCTTTATGCTGGCTAAGGGCTCACCTGATTCTCTTCCAACCTCTTCTAAGGCACCTTTAAGCACATGGAGGGACCACCCCTGCCCCTGTTTCTTGCTACCGAACAGTAAGACTTATTTGCTTAATCAAGAGGGACCATACACACTATGAACAATTTTTAAAAGCCGACTAACCCTGACTGCAGGGACCCTATGTGGCAGAGCAGAACTGCCCCCTGGTTTCCAAAGCTGCCATCTTTACTGAAGCACACGCTCACATCGTTCTCCGACAGAGGGCCTGGTGGGTTAGAACCACTGACCTTTCCATTCGTAGCAAAGTTCTTAACCACTACATCCCCAGAGCCCCTTCATGAGGCATCTACCTGAGGTCAATTGAGCAAAGAAAAACCCAGGCATAAAAGATAAAAAATTGAAACAAAAATGGAGAAATACGTATGAAGAGGAGAATGTGTTGCTTTGGGTTGACTAGAGAAACAAATTCATAGACACCCTGTATTAGTCTAAGTACTTTGGAGAAACAAATCCACGGCGACTCACGTATAAGAGAGAGTTTTATGCAAAGAAAATGTGCATCACGAAAACACCCCAACCTAATGCTGCCCAAGCCCACAAGTCCAACATTAACCCATACCCGATACCAGTCCACAAAGTCCTCCACCTCACAAAACAGAGGCAATGATGCCGACTGCAGGAGGAAAGCTGAGTCCGTGAATGTGTAAGCATCTCAGCTCTGGCAAGGGTCTCCACACGGCTGCTCCAGCACCCAGGACTGCATCGGGATAGATCCATGCGGCTTCTCCTTGGGGATGTCTTGTAGGAAATCAATCTTGCAAGCTGAAGCAGGGAACTGCTAAGGCAGCTGCACCCGATGCAACCATCACAAAACAAGAGACCCGAGAACTAGAAAGGCCGAGGCTCACCACCCATTTATCCCTCCGCCTTTCAACCAGCACCACATGTGATTATTGGCCAGGCTGGCACAATTAACTAACTCACACCCATATGTGTATAAGAAAGAGCTTTATATAGAGTAATTTATTATATATTAAGAAAACATACCAGGCCACTCCAGATCAAGTCCATAAATCCGATATTAGCCCATATGTCCAATACCGGTCCATAAATTCCTCTTTAGACTCATGCAACACATGCAATGATGCTGAATGCAGGAAGATCACAGGCCAGTGGGTGGAAAGTCTTGTGCATCTCAGCGCTGGCATGGGTCTCCACCGTGCCTCCTCCAGCTCCAGGGCTCTGGTTCCGTCAGCTGTCGCTCCATGTGGCTTGTTGACAGGAATGTCTCCCAGTGAGACTGTGTGTCTAACCTCAAGAAAGAATGATAGGAGTTCCCAGAATCCTCAGGAGAACGCCATGCCTACACAGCGGCCTCATTGGCTATGACCTGATTGACAGTCTAGACTCCACCCCTTCGCTCAGGTTGACAATAGATTATGTGACTGCCACAGAGAAACATCCAGGAAACAATGGGCTAGTTAGAGTGGGAGGAAGTGGAGAAGGATTAAACACTAAAATTCTGATGGAAAGTCCAAGAACAAAGATAGACTATGTTGAGGAAGGCTGTGGTAAAGGGGGAGTGGGGTGGCCAGAGAGTAATAGGACTTTTTAAGAACTCTAGCAGGTTACCAAGGAGTAGGAGTAACTCTGGGGGCAAAGGCAGGTGCCCTGTAGCTAGAGGGTCAGGGCAAACCAGTGTCCCATGGAGGACACTCAGAGGAGCTGGCCTGATGAGCTCCCTAGCCTCGTGTGCAGGTGACTCAGTCGCCCCACTCTAGGAGCTACAGCAGTCAGGTGGGATTCATTAGGTCCGGCGGGGTCTGTGTTGATAAAGGAGGAGATCTTTAATGCTAATGTTTTAAAGACTAAAAAGGGAATTGGGTTAGAACAATGGAACTCCTATGTCAACATCTGATATGAATTTCAAATTTCTGCTCCCCAGGAACTGGTGAAAACTCTCATCGCAGCCTGCCCTGGTTTCACGCAGATTCCTCGTCTCATGCTGGTTTGTCACTCTTGACTCAAATCTCAATTCTTGTTGGTTGCATCTTTGTATCCTGATTGCCCTGAATTTTCCCACTTTGTGTCTGCACATTCTCTCAGTTAAGGAGACTGGAGGGCTCTGTCTTCTGTGTTGCTAAGGAGGATGACTCCTTCCCTAACTCCTCAAACACACCTGCTACCTGGCCAGGGGGCTCTGGAGCTGGACTTGCCCAGGTGCCTGGCTATGCACTTAGCTGCCTCTGCCTTGCTTCTTCGATTGCTTTGATATTATGATATATTATGATATATGATATATGATATGATATATGATATATGATTGATATATGATATATTGATATTATGATATATTATGATATATTGCTACCTCGATGCTTTGATATTAATGGAGTGGCAGCCAATGCGGTGGTCACAGAGGAAGGAGCAATGGAGTGATGGGAGGGTCCCTTTGTGGGATCCGTTACAGGGCATCGAGAGCACCACTTGCCTCACCCATCACCAACACCATCACCCAGCAGCTACCCTCCAAGCACCAGATGGGCCACCACAAAGACCACTTGTAATTGAGTCACCAATTACTCCTGCTTGTAATTTCTGATCTTTCATTACTCCATAATACAAGTAATGTTAGCCAAAGCCAAGCCCAATACACTGCCATCAAGTTGATGCAACTCATAGTGACCCTATAGGGCAAGGTAGAACTGCCCTCGTGGATTTCTAAGACTGTAACTCTTTACGGGTGTAGAAAGCTCCATCTTTCTCCCAAGGAGTGGCTGATAGTTTCAAACTGCTGACCTTGCAGTTAGCAGCCTAACATGTAACCATAATGCCACCTGGGTTCTTTGACAAGCAATGGTACAATATTAAATTGTTCAAAGTATTGCCAACTTAAGGCATTAATTTTAATCATTTTATTTTGCTGATCCCAGATCCCAGATTGCATGCAATACTTCATTTAATCTTCCCAACAATTTAAAGATGCGGCCATTTTTTAGAGAGTTTGGGGATTTGTACAACTTCACCAAAATAAGAATTAGCATTGACTAAGTGCCATAAGGTAGGGTCAGAGCATGAACTCTAGTTGTACCCCAAATTCAAATTCTTCCCTTCTGATCTGGGCATATCTATTCTTTGCACCTCAGTTTCATCCCCTGTAATGCAGGTGTGATTGTGGCACCTGCATCCCAGGTCTGCAGTATCTTTAGAGTAAGTGAGGTGTGTATGAAGCACTCACAACCCTGTTGGTACTTCCTCCTTCTTAGGTGCCTTTGTTACTACTGCTCCATCGAATTATCATTGTCCTCTGTCGCTCTCTCTAGAGTCCCAGCATGTAACTGTAACAGTCAACTCTGGAATCTTCTTCTGTGTCGGAACCAGATGTTTCCTGTGGGTAAAATTATCCCCCAGACTAGAGAAGGATGTGCTCAAAGCAGCATCCACCTGGTGATCAAGAACGTAGAGGGGCCACCATTTCCCCACCATCGAGCACACTGGTCTCTAGGGAATTCTCTGTGTTACCCATGCTGCTCATGGGGAACTGAGCAACATTTCAAACTAGCACAATGACTATGTGCTCATCACTACACACTGCCATAACTATTTCACCATCCATCTGCCAGCTGGTCATACTGTGGTGGTTTGCAGGTTACTGTGACTCTGGAAACTATGCCACCAGTATTTAGAATACCAGCAGGGTCACCCGTGGCAGACAGGCTTCAGCAAAGCTTCCAGAGAGGAAGAAAGGCCTGGTGCTCTCCTTCTGAAAATCCTCCAAAAAATAAAGGGGAAAACCTCACTGCCATTGAGTTGATGCCGACTCATCTTGATGCGATAGGACAGGTAGAACTGCCCCTGCGGGTTTCTGAAATTGTAACTCTTCACAGAAGTAGAAAGCCCCATTTTTCTTCCTGAGAAAGTACCTGGTCATTTCAGACTGCTGATTCTGCAGTGAACAGCCTAACATGTAACCACGATGCCACCAGGGTGCTGATAATAAGCCAATGAGAATCTTACGGCTTATAAAAGACTATTGTCTGATAGAATGCTAGAATGGATGTATTGGATTGGGTATGAAATGGTAAAAAAAAAAAACCAAACTATTCTAGAAAAAAAGAGAATGAGGGCTCCTAGGGTCTGGTGGGGGAGGGAGGGACCAGAGGGAGCCGATATCAAGGAGTTCAAGAAAAAAGAAAATGTTTTGATACTGATCGTAGTAGCAATTGTACGATACTGCTTGATGTTATTGAAATATGTACTGTTATGCTATCCATGAGAACCCCCAATAAAATGATTAAAATATATATATGTAATATAAAAAGGTGATCCCCCTAAGTTGGAAGGCACTTGGACTACACAGAAATAGTCATGAAGATGGCATAAGGGCAGGCAATGATGCCCTTCTGCTGGGCATGAGTCAATGAGGGACGGATTCCCTCCACCGTTCTGCAGTCTGTGGAGCATAGCAAGCATTCCTCGACTGATTGATAATAGCATCATTGGTCACAAATTTATAAAATCCTCCAAGAATAATTCGTGCTGATTAATTATTTAATTAATTATTACTTAATTAATGATTGATGGCCAGGAAACAGTTTCAGAGGACCATTGCCTTACATTGTGATTTTTCATAGGGCCTTTGTAAATAAAGCCTCATTTTATCTTCACAAAAAAACTAGCTTATCCTTGGATTGTAGATGAGGAAACTGCAGCTGGTAATGTTTAGGACTGGGTTACAAAGTCCTTTGGAACCTAGCAAGATTCCAACTATCACCTGGATCACTGTAACTGGATAGAGAAGGGAAGAGAAATGAATGAACATCAAAAAAGAATGACGATCGCCGTGTAAGCTGTCGTAGGACTTTCAAGTCTTTTGTGGAGGAATAACTGTTCTCTCCCTTTGTAGCGCTTGTGGAACTAAAAAAGTCGCCCCCTTTGAGAAAAAGCCCTAGAAAAAGAGGTAAGAGAAAATCAGAAAGCTAAGGTTACAAATGAGCATTGTTTTCTCCATGATTGTCATTATAATGTTCTGCGCTTTCAAAGTAAAAGCAGAAATTCCTTTTCCTTTGTGCTAGTCTGGGACTTTAGAGAAACAAATCCACAGAAACTCATGTATAAGAGAGAGTTTTATATAAAGGTTAAGTGAGCACCAAGAAAACATCCCAATCCAGTCCTGCCCAAGCCCACAAGTCCAACATTA